TCTTTTCCTCGCTTTCCTTTGGTTTTAAATAACTTGTAAAAGCGGCGTGGTATTTTACTTTCACTTTCAAATTAGCGGCAATTCGGCATCAATTACTTGAATGCAATTCAAGCAACAACAAAATACAACGTCAAACTCACTTTCGCCTATATATAAAACAGAACTTTTATTAACAAAACGAATAAAATACACCATGCTATAGGTTATGCCTAATATAAAATAACAAATAACTTACATAAGTTTAAATAGGTATACAAAACTGTAAACACTCTGGAACCAAATAAATAAGAAACAGAGAAAGTTTATTAGCTAAACGAGTAAGAAAGCTTGGAGGCACGGCATACACCTTGATGTCAAATAAAATAAATAAATTACACAAAGTTTAATTAAAGTAAAAATCAGCAAACATTGTGGACCTAATTAAATAAGAAACAAATGATTAAAAAAAACTTCCAAAATCACCTTAGATAAACGGCAAAAGTCAACAGGCTTTTCAAAATCCAAAATATTGCCAAACAGGTACTTTTGCATTTCGTTTCGAAACTAAATCTTCCGCCATCATCTTTTCTTTCTCACCTCACTCTTTTTTTCAAGCCTGTGTTATACTTTCCACGTGCGCAGTTCGGACAGTACACGGACAGCACGGGTGCGGACTGCTTGTATTTATACTACCGAAAGTGTACGCTGGTGGTCCGCTCGGCAGATGTGTTCCACACATGCGCAGTAGGTCAGTTTGAACAGTAAACAAATATATAAACAGTAAACAAACAATTGCCCAAACTATTGGTAATTTCCGTCCACAAATTATTGCACATCTGTCTGTCTTTATATTGTTTAATCGACGGATTGTAGAGGTGCGGGTATCGACGGACTTAAGGTGCGTTCATGCCATATTGGAATTCCCGTAATTATGAGATTCCAACTTATAAAAAGCATTCATGTCCTCGTAGAACTCGTAATTACAACTTGTGAACTGAGAGTTTTCTGAGAGCTACGACTTGTACCACGTGACCGCTGTACCACCTGACCACCGCAGGCTCTGTTTAGGCGTTGATAGTGTTGCCATAGAAAAGCATAATTCCAAGTCCGAGGACGTGAACAGCTCTGAGTAGAATGTCACGTGCTGTCATCTCGGAATTACGGTAATTACAATATGGCGTGAATGCAGCATTCTTCACACAGCCTGCGCATGCACAATTGGTGCTTTTGTAGCCTACACAAAAAATGAGAGGCACGCGGATGTCTGCAGAGAGCCTTCGTGTACACCCTCTGATGACATCTTTTACATCACACGGACCCTAGCGGACTTGCGCACGTGGAAAGTATAACACAGGCTTCAGTCGACTCACTCTCCTCACGTGATAAATTAAATCTGATCTGTGATGTGACTGTCATTCAGCACGCTGCATTGATCCGCCGCGTTCAGTTTTTAATTGTAGTGTCTGTTAGAACTGTCAAAATGGCTGAAAAACTAAATTTAAATTTTTTACTTATGTATTATCAAAATTCGAATTATATTCGAATTTAAAATGCATAATTTCAGTTAGGGTGACGAAAAGCTTTTGGCTTCTCTCCTGAAGCCACAAGAGGGCGCATCGAGCAAAATATTACTATTGCACGTTTATTCAAAGCATAAGATGACATGACTATCTGTGAAAAAAAGTGCATAATGTTTAATATAATGTTTATAAACTTATAATTAAGTTGCTTAAACAACTATAAACAAAACAGCATGTATGCATAGTTTAATACAAAGGGCCGAAAGCCAATCACACGGAGTACATTTTTCATTTAAAAACACGAGTTGCAGTGGAATGGGGAAAAAACCCGCCATAAAGTCTCAAGATATGTTTTTTCAAAGTCGAACTTGCATTAATTTTACATGGCTTTCTAAACATGCGGCTTCTTTTGTGCGAGACGCGAGTGCAACGGTGATAGATGTCCCTCTAGAAAATGCGCGAAATGAGCGTGTGAACGGCTTGGTTTCAGTTTTGACGTAAACAAGATCTTCTCCGCATTGATGTTCTCTTTTCACGCAATATTTGTAATTGACAACGCTAGCATTAACAACCCTTCAATCTAGTGGCTTCAACTGGATAGGCTAACAAAAACATTAAAATGCAATGACACTTACATCGTCATCGTATCTCATGCGCCACTGGTAAGGCTGCCTCCTTAACGCACACCATCGAATGAGGATTTTTATTTTAAATTCGACGAATATTCGAAATTTAAAAATTTTTTTGACAGCCCTAGTGTCTGTTCTCTAACTGAACTAAATGATCTACGAAAAATCAAAACGACAATGGGGGCGGTGCCGCAGTGGGCAAAAGTTTCGCATGCAGACAACAACATTGTGAAAGGGATCCCCGTTTGTAAAAACAGTAACATCACAGGGCTCCAGACTAACATTTGAGAGCAGTGGCACCAGCACCACTAAGTTTTACAGATGGTGGCACCAGAAGCAGATTTGGTTGCGCCGGGGGGGTGGGGGGTGTATTCAAAATAAAGATGAATGAATGAATGAGGCATTTATATAGCGCTTTATTGTGTATTGCTGTACACCCAAAGCACTTTATGGAGGATCTCTCCTCCACCACCACCAGTGTGCAGCATCCACCTGTATGATGTGACGGCAGCCACAGGACAACGGCGCCAGTGCGCTCACCACACACCAGCTACAGGTGGAGAGGAGAGAGGGAGATAGACAATTCAATGGATGGGGATTATTAGAAGGCCATGATTGACAAAGGCCAGTGGAGGGAATTTGGCCAGGACTTTGGCCGGTGGGTTAACAAGTGCAGTTAATAATAATATTAAACGTTCATTTCTTGTTTTCACGTTTATACACATTTGACAGAATAGCACTGAGCTTGAGTTGGGAAGCATACAAAATGTACTTTTATTAACAACAGTAACATGTGCAAAATCAATTTTTTATGTAGAAAATGTATATATTCTTCTCTTATTAAATGTACCATTATTCTTCTATAGTATTATACAGAACTGACCGGCAACTTTAGTGATTATAAAAAGAACGAAATTGAAGAAAAGTTGAATCAAGGGATTTGTTAAAAATAGGATTTGTGATTATAATGTTTGAAAAATAATAAATTTTAAGGTCAATGTACCTCATTCACGGAAAATTTCTCTGCTTTTTATGAGTTACTGAAAATTAACCATTTTGACTTTTTTTTTTCAGAGTTGATTGAAGAAAACAAGGAGAATGAAAAATTGAGTGAAGTTGAAGACAAAAATCATGTTAAAACTGGAGAAAAACCTTGGAGTTGCTCTCAAAGCAAACAGAAAGGTTTAAAGAAAAGAAGGGCCAATAAATCTTTCACCTGCACTCAGTGTGGAAAGAGTTTCACATGCAAATGTCATCTTGAAATTCACATGAGAGTTCATACTGGAGAGAAACCGTTCACTTGTGATCAGTGCGGGAAGAGCTTCACACAATCAGCAAACCTTAAGAGGCACATGAACATTCACACTGAAGAGAATCTGTACTCATGTGATCAATGCAGCAAAACGTTTTTGAGAGCTTTAGTCCTGAAGCAGCACATGCATCTTCATACAAACAAGAAGCCACATTCATGTCATTTGTGTGGAAAGAGTTTTTCACGTCTACAAAATTTAAAAGCACATCAGAAAATACATAATGGTGTGAGAGAGCACATGTGCTTTGAGTGTGAAAAGACTTTTACTACAGCAAACAGTTTAAAACGGCACCAGATGATTCACACTGGAGAGAAACCGTACATGTGTTCACACTGTGACAAGAGATTCAGTCATTCAACAAATCTGAAAAGACACCAGAGGATCCACACTGGAGAGAAACCGTATCACTGCACTGCATGTGGGAAGCGTTTCAATCGTTCTTCTGCTCTACACAGGCATACAAAAAACAATCACAGTAAGAAGATCATCTTCAGATCCAGCTCTTTCAACTCTGATGCTGCGTCCTCACCAAATGTGACACAATAATACATCAAACAGTAAAATATCATCTGGATAAATCTGTCCTAACAAGACATTACAAGCGACATGACAAAGAAACATTATCTAAAGTTTTCACAGTGAATAAAATTGGTCTGAAAACCAGCAGATTCAACTGTGAGATTCAGATCAACTCAAAGATGGAGTTCCTCCCCAAAGAACAATGTCAAAAAGTTTTATTCTTGTATACAATTTTGCTTCATGATATAACTGAAATAATTGTGCTTTCTTATGAGTTTCATATTATGTTAAATTGTCTTATAATGCATATGTATCACTTGCAGTTTGCTTACTCTGTAATGAAAGAAAGTAGAAGCTTTTTACACACCCTTCTTGTGCAGGGAGCTGAAGAAGAGGCTGTAACACTTTTTAAGAGAAACTGAGATTTATTTTTAAAATTGTTTTTCATTGAGTTATTCTTCCAGTTAAGATGTATTAGGAAAACGCAGATGCAGGATATACTGTCATGTAGCTTTGTAACTGATTCTTCTGTGCTTCTCTTGTTAGTAGGAATGAATACCTGAACCCGGTATTAAACCAGCTCTGGGGCTAAATTACGAAAGATTGTAGTTATTGATAAGCTCTAATGTTAACTTCTGTTTTTGGTACTCAGGAAATTAAGGAAATATACTTACAATTTCTTATTGCTACATAAATATTATGAAGCTAACTGTATCTTGCCAACCGTTTCTACATGCGATAATTTCAAGACATTTGTCACAGATGCAGTTGCGTTATTTTGCAATCCAGAAGTGAGATCTATCTTGTACTTTAGGGCTGTGCGATAAGTCGAAGGCTACGTTCACACTGTCAGTTTTTGGGATTGACAACCGCATTTTCTTTACAGGTGTGAGTCTCGAAATGTCCCGTTCACACAGCAGCTTACAGTTCTGTTCAGAATACTGTCTGTATGAACGTGCAACGGGAGTCAATCCGTATTCCTTACCAGTAACCATAGCGACAGTGACCAAAGTAAAATCAAAGATGGCGACGTCCATAAAACTGAAAGTCATCACTTTATGACACGACAAGAGTCCAATTGAGCTGCGAGTTCATCCGTTAAATCTTCATTAACCGACAGCAGCCTTTATATTTGGGTGGAGAGCGGAGTATTTTAGTCGCGCACAGAACACAAAACTGACGGGATCTAAAAATTTCAGGTGACAGACACGCATCTCATTTCTCCGTCACTTAAGTTACCGAAAACACACATGAAAGCACATAACACACGGTAGACGCGCGTTTGTGCAGCAGAGCAGCTCTCTCGCACTGTATGTGACAGACAATATTGTCCAGTCCGGTTCCGTTCACACAGTGCGTGTTCCGAGAATGCGGTTGTGAGTCCCGAACATTTACAGGTGCGAGTTCGGTTACAGAATGCGGTTGTCACACCCGTAAATAACCGAACTGTGTGGGAACATAACTGTATTAAGGACTCAAATACAGGACTGACAACCGTGCTGCTGTGTGACGTGGCCTAATTGTATTTTCGATTTCGAGTTTGACTTTCAAGGACTACGATAAGATGTTTGAGGTAAAGTGATATATTAGATCAAATCTGATATGTCTTGATGCCTTAATGGCCGCTGCGTGCGTGTCTGTTAAGTCCATGTTACCGTAGTAATCCATTATTATAAGTTTACACCACTGATCTATAAAGGACTCAAATACAGGACTGACAACCGTGCTGCTGTGTGACGTGGCCTAATTGTATTTTCGATTTCGAGTTTGACTTTCAAGGACTACGATAAGATGTTTGAGGTAAAGTGATATATTAGATCAAATCTGATATGTCTTGATGCCTTAATGGCCGCTGCGTGCGTGTCTGTTAAGTCCATAGTCCACGTTATCCTCATTATTATAAGTTTACACCACTGATCTATAATAGAGAACTGGATTGCTCATGATGTTATAGAAGTGAAGCCACCGCACCGCCATATTGCTATTCCCCGGTATTCCCATACATTCTATTTAATTAAGAATAAATCGTACGATTTTAACAAGAAAACGTCACCTAACAAGTCAGCGTTTTTATATCTGAAGTATCCCTGTATGTTAACGCAAAATCGTATGTATGGTAGTTATTTGTTTAATATTGTGAATTTCCCCTGCTGCATATTAAAAAGTTACAAACATCAGATGAACATGATGAATATCAGATGGACGAGATCCTCAACAAATGTATTACAAATGACAAAGTGCACATTCCGAAATCTGAATAAAGTTTCGTTAACAGCATGCATTTTATTCAACATATATACATAACATTTTACTCTTATGGAAACTCTAAAAAGCCACAGAAGTTGCACGTCTGAAATAGATGTTGCGCAATCAGAACATAAAGAAAAATGCACGCATCCTAACATCATACAGAAAAATAGCATTAACAACATACGGTACAGTCTTGGATATGAAGCTTCATTTCCAAGATGATGCATGGTAAGCTTTGAATTTCAATACAATATAGAGCAGCATAGCAACAGAGGCTTGCATTATACTGTTTAGTGTATATTCAAATTAATGCCCGATACTAATATTAGATATATCTTCGTGTTTAATATTTCATGCATAATTACATAAAGAAATATATATTGTGTTGGATCAGTTACCTGTGTCATCAGTGTGCAGCAGACACACCCACCTAAATAAAAAAAAATAAAAAAAACAAACATTGCAGATAAAATCTGAAGTAAAAAATTATTTACACACACTAAAAACGAATGCTGTGTGACTGATACGCTTCAGATCGGGTGATTTTCGGTCAGTGTTTTGGCTGTCAGTCATGCTCTCTGCTGGTAGGGAATAGTAAGATGTCCGATCGAACACTTCGCCTGATGACATTTTAGAACGACGTTATCTCAGCAACGATTGTAAATTAAGTTTACATGAAATATGTTTGAAATTTCAATCTGCATCTTCTGAGATACTGTGATTTCATTGTAATCCTTTTCATAAAGTCACTGAATTCACCATTAATTAACTGTTCACCTGATAGCGTTGCCGTCTGCGTTTGATGTTATAGCGTTGCTGAGAATGTATTGGAAACATACGGCACCGCCAACCTGACTCTGCCTGAGAGGTAAGGAAAAATACACTTACCTGAGATGATTTTTTATAAATATCTCTGAAATATATGATTGTATTCTTGAAAACAACCTTTTATTGTATTATTGAAGAAAATATTAGTTAATTATTAAAAAAATAAATAATAATAGCCATAATATGGACACACACACACACACAAAAACTTAAGTAACGCGCACAGAAAAGCAAATTTAACCAAAACAAAGCAACAGCGTCTCTGGACGATAGTTTGAACGCAGCCCCAACAACAAGGAAGCTAATCACAAGTTGCGACACAACTGATCTGTCTGCAATAAAATTACAAGTTAGACAGATCAGACAAATTCCACAAATGCCAAGTAATTATATATAAAAAAATCTGAATATCATCCCATGATAAATTTAAACACGTACCGTAAGAGAAAGATATCCTGAAATCCAATCAGTCAGGCAGATGAACAAATTTACTGGGAAGCTGAGGGCTTGTTCAATCTATCTGTGAAACAGTGTGCCCACCGGAGGGACAGAACACGTCCGTAACGTCAGGTGAACACCGTCCCTGTCGTGCCCGAATCAGTCTCACTCAAACCTCTGACTATAAATGAATACAAGAAAACACTGCTACAATACGAGCAAATTCTTCAACAAAGACAGATCGCGACCGACTCCCTTACCTACAGAGGGGCAACCTCAACCAAATGCCAACCACAGGGTTTCATTCAACGTGCCGTTCTACAAGAAAACACATTAATATGAGCCACAGTCTGCTACTAACAACCCAGTCAACATCACCCAACATACCTGGATGGCTACTAAATTTGACACAGGAAGTAAATTGACTTGAGCTTGTGTTTCAATGTGCCACTTTCACATGCGTATGAATGGAAGACCGATTGGGACTGTTGGAAATTCAGACACAAAGATCAGGGAGACTTGATGTTTCTTCAGCGAGAATGTGCTATGTGACGCTGCATTCATCAAAGTTCATCAAATACATGTTTCGTTGTAGTTTTTTAAACATTTTACAGGGTCAGTGTTTAGAGATGGAAACAAACACCTGGGTGACAACCTTAAATAAAGAATGCAAATGAGGTATTTAGGTATTGTTACCTGCCCCAGATTCTGGAGTTTAACAAGTCCTGATCCAATGTGCATAAAGAATGGGATTGGGCTCCACGAGACCTTAAAGACAATAGAAGAGAGTGTCTGTAATCTGGCTCATTTGACTTGCGATGAAGAGAACAGGAACCTCATGCTAGAGACTTTGCTTAACATAATCATTCATCCAATGTCATAATTTTTACCTTAATTAGGGGTTCAAGTGCAATAGTGACATCCCTGCAAACATGTCCCTGCGGGGCCCATGCTGGCTTTTTGTGGGCACAGAGGGCTAGGGCCAGCCCACACCAAACCTAAACAGGCCCAGTGCGGCCTTGCCCTGGCGAGGCCCACAGCTTTGGGCTAACCGCGGGCTCTCTGTGAGCAGCCCACACTAGCAGACTGCCCACATTAATCCAATGATGGCCCAGTGTGGGCCAGCACATTCGGGCCCAGAGCAGCTTTTGTACTTTTGGGCCTATGCAGGTTTTGTGTAGGCAGCCCTGTAATGCAACTAGGAGAATACAAACAACATTGACTGGCCATTATTTAGCCGCTCAATTGAACTGGAATGGCTTAAGCCCAGGATACACTGCACGATTTTAGCAAACAAAGAAGAGGCACCGGCGGAAGAGGGCAATATGGACCCGCTCATGGCTCGGGAAAAGAGGACAACTTGGGATGCCAGTTTTGCACAGGGAGCTTGGCAGCTGCAGTTCCTCCGCTATCTCCTTCCATGCTATGTCCTTTTTGGTGCGGTCATGATAGGAGCTAGAGGACACATCGTACAAACATGCCCTCTGCTGCAACAACTCAACAAGAATTTGTCCTTTATGGGTATCCCACATACCAGTATACCTTCTACTTTTTTTTGCCTCCATGGCATTGAAATTGTAACGTCGCGTGGAT